TTGCTAATGCACACATGATCACATGAATTCGTTGGTGCAAATCTTATGTTTGGAGCTTACATCATCTTACTTCAGCCTAGGTTAACCAATTTCTGCAGATCATAAAGCCACGATTTTGTCATACCGGATGACACGGGATGTGGTGTGATGTCGTATCATGTGGTATCCCTTCAGATACTTGTGGCCAAGAGGCTGTGTTGCTTGCATGCTGTGGCATCAATGCCTTGACTTCCTTTTTGGTCGCTGCATGGTCACCAAAGAGTAGGGATTCCAGCCTGTGGATGATGCCTGAGTCTGCACACTCTCCTTGAGGCCTCTCATTGCTGCCTGCTTTGGCTGCAAAGACTCCAGCTTGCAAGGGATTGCCTTGGCCATGGTTTTCGCCCAATCTTCAGGGGTGCGCTGAGTCAAGTAGCCTGACACGCCCATGGATGCATAGCTCCGTATGAGGCTATCTTGGCCCCATATGAGGATATGTTGGCCCCATTTGAGGCTATGTTGCCCCCATGTGAGCCTATCTTGGGCTCATGTTGGGCCTATGTTGGGCCGATCTTGACCCATTTTTGGCCTATATTGGCCCAGATCAAGAATTTTGACATCTTTTGAAAAACATGCAAAAACACAGGGTTCTAGAGCAAAAATGCCCCCCCCCCAAGCTAAAGCTTATTAGCTATAATGCAAGTGCTAACGGTTCACGCAGGCACACAAAAAACGCCTCGGCACCTTCGGTGCGGGCGGATTTTGGATGATTTTGACATGTACCACTGAGCAAGGCTTCTGTTCAGCCAGACATGAAATGATGCTGTTTCTAGATGTTTCTAGTCTAGTTTATATGAGAAACCTTCCATGTCCAAAAAAAAGTGCCCAATAAGTGCTAAAAGAACGTTCAATATGGCCAAACATCCTCCAACATATGTGAATGTTATCCATTACACTTGGTGCGGGCGGTTTTCGTCGCGAAGCGACCGTCAATATTCCAAAATCACATCACGTTGGGTGGATATGGTTTCGCCATGTTTCGCCAAGAAACACCATTGCATGTAGCAGTGGAGGCTCCCAATCCTCTGGTGCCCAATGCAAGTGCTATAAGGGGCTGATCAACAGAGCTGGATTGTTGGTCCCCAGTTTGCCCCACCAGCCGACCATAGCTCGAACTTGTGCAGGATCGTTTCTCGTGTGACCCAACGCCACCGTCCGTCACCAGGAGAAAGGTCACAAGTCACTTGGTCCAGGCGAATGACTTCAACTTCAGAGGAATTGGCCTGATCAAGCACGAGTTCCTTCAGCCGCTTGTAGTAGCCCTCAGCTGGAGGACCTTTCACATCCATCACGTGCACATGCTCTGCAAAGGCCCGGTACTCAGACGCATCCACCTGGCAGGCTGCTGGCGGCGTTTAACGTTTCCAAGGCTGGCCAACCAATGTGATATTGTGATTTATTGTGTGATCACATGTACCCACACTGTTGGAATCCTCACGTGTGATGTTGCACCTTAGCGTGACCAAAGACCCCAGGAAACTTGAGGGCAACCAGGGATGAACGAAAGGTAGAGTTGAGTGAAGGGAGGTGAGACACAGCAGCCATTTTTTCAGCGGGTTGGCAAGGCTGCGTCCGTATTATGTAAGCCTTTAGTAAACTGACAACACAGTCCACAGCCGTACATGGCCGTACAACAGCTGAAGTGCCATACAGAGAAAGGTTTGGAACGCTCCCAGCAAGAAATAGGCAACACCATATTCCACTACCGGAATGGAAGCCCCAAAACTGAAACCCAGACAGTCACCATGGCACAAGAACCACAAGGAGCACAAAACATCACAAAACTAGCATCGTGGCCCCACCATGATTTGAACCCTGGTTGTTTTACCATGATTTACCCCCTCCCCCCCACAATGTGACTTTGGGAAAGGATGGGAAGGGGATGGAGTTACCCGCGCTTATGGGTGCCGTCCGTAAGAACGGGTAATTGTTTGGTAGAGCGGGTGGAGCCAATTTTAAAGGGAAATCTATACATACGGCTGCCCTATCCGCGGCAGTGAACGCTTACCCTTATGCGTGCCGTCCATAAGAGCGGGTAATCCTGGCGTTGTTAGTTGTACTTTAGAGTTGGTATACTTTTGGGGTATCTCACCTCCCTTTGGATCTGTCCAATGGCGAACGGAGCCTTGCCTGCGAGTCCACTGGTGCCATGAGGGCCATGTCTTCCAGCATTGGAGCCTCAGTACTCATAAAATGCAAGTACACATATGTTGAATTATGTTGAGGGCTGGGAAGAAATGCAAATACTACACATAAGAATGCAAGTCGAAAACCTGGTCATCTTGCCTGGTGTTTCACTGCGTTCACATGTGTCTTCCATGGGCGATGTCACCATCCACATTCTGCAACCAGGCAACGTCCGATGAGATCATAGCGGGGTCCGCCATTGCACCACTAGTCACCTGTCAAATGCGCAAAGCTGCAGGTTGGTGGGATTGCACGCAGGTGCATGCAAAAACAAAACGGCACAGTAATAAACATACTTCTTCCTGTGACCGAATTTAAACACGTACTACTCGTAGCAGAAAGCAAAGAAGCAGTACGAGCTGTAGTAGTAGCAGTAGTAGTAGCAGCAGTAGTAGTTAGTACTTGCATTAGTACTACTACTACTACTACTACTCCTCCTACTCCTACTCCTACTCCTACTCCTACTCCTACTCAGTAGTAGTAGTAGTAGTAGTAGTAGCAGTAGTAGTAGTAGTAGTAGTAATAGTCGAAGTAGCAGTACTAGTAGTTGCAGTAGTACTAGTATTAGCAGTACTAGTAGCAGTAGTAGCAGTAGCACATAGTAGTAGTAGTGGTGGTGGTGGTGGTAGTAGTAGTAGTAGTAGTAGCATCTTGTCACTCAGAAGACACTCAGAAGTTCGGCAACAAAAACGATTCGCAATCTAATCACATCTTGTCACTGCAGCATGAAGACTCCCTCAGCAAAGGACTCTGGAGGTTCCAAAACTCCACTTCCATCCTGCGCCGCAGTTGGGGGTGAAGCCGTGAAGCCAGGAGACTCTTTTCGGAAGCAGTCATTCGATATGACTCCAGCAAGTGCTTGGATATGGGTAGATTTATAATATCTTATAATGATTTATGGATAGATTTGGGTACCTGCCATATCTGCCACAACTTCTGAACTGCACACGCCACACTTCAAGCCCTTTGGCCCATGGCATTGCTTCATAATGCTTGATAATGCTTCATATTGCAGGGGTATACTGTAGAGCTACGATGCAGGTGCTGGTAGAGGTACGGTAGAGGTACGGTAGAGAAAGAAAACTCTACCGTACCTCTACCGTACCTCTACCGTACATGATTACACATGATTTTGCATGTACTTCTAACGTAGCCCTATGATCCCATCCTGTCATATTTTCAAGGAACTAAAAAATGCTTACGTTTGGACCTACCTGCTCACGTCTGCTCAAGTGGAAAACCATGTGATCCAAGATGCAACATCAGCGCGAGAAGGTGGCGATGGCAGGCCCAAGTTCTTCGCCACATTGTTCGCTTTGGCCCACGAATCTAAGGTCTTCTTATGCGCGGGATGATGCCAGTAGTCTCAGTGGCAGGGGCTTTGATATGTTGGGATTCTGGTTGTGAGGCGGTGTTCTGACTGACAGCAACCATGCATCATGATCATCTGAGACTGCGCATTTTGGACATTTCTGGGAAAATCTTCCAAGCATAGAATGAATTAGAATGACATGAAGACATGAAGACATGAAAAGAATCTCTAATCTTGCTCTCTTTGCGCTGAATGCAGCACAAACCGCAGTCCACGCGAGTGCTGCTCCAGCTACACTTCTTCGTCACCAGCCAGCCCATGGCTGCTCTCCAGGCTTTTGCATGTCACAGGTTGCATGTCATTGGTTCCTTTTGATTCAGCGATATTGATATATATATATATATATTGATCTATCTTAGGGCTCAACTTGCCATATGTAGAATATTGCAAAATAGATTAAAATAAAACATATTCCAAGTTGGTCCTCTTGATGTCCAATGATGTCCAAGTAGGAGTTTTATGATGTTTTGTGGTGTCCGGGTCAATGCATGTCCAAATGTTTCAAGGTTCACTATCCCCTGGAACCTGCAGCGGGCGCCGGACAGGCGCACAACATCAAACAAGCCCCATTAAGCCCCATCAAATTGGATGATTATCCCAGAAAATATTATTATATTTTCTTAATATATGTTAAAATATAATATATTATAATATAATATAATAATATAAATATATATAAAAAATATATTAAAAAAATATAATATATTAATATATATATATACATAAATTACTGAAATATTTCTTTTCGTAGGTCCCCCCTCCAAAACAAGCATTAAGGGGTTGGGGATTATATATATATATACATTAAAATAATTATGATAAATTAATATAACTTCTACATACATGTTGATGTAAAAATGTCCAGCCGCCTGGCACATCAACTCCAAAGCCCTCTAGCGCCATGTCGCTGTCGACCCTCGCGACGGGTCTCACTTCCATCCATGGGGAAATCCATGGGAAATCCATGGGAAATCCAGGTTCCACATCGATTTTGCCACCGATTTTCGAAGCTGATGTTGACTAATCATGAAAAAAATGTGGGGTGTCAAGGATGAGGTAGCCTGCACATTTTCACATGTGTATGTGATGTGCCAATTTTCGAAAATCAAACCTGAAGTAACACAGAAATCAACGATGTAAAAACCTGATGAAACTTGTGGATCCACAAGTGTCATTCTTTGAGAATTGCTGGAGTTCTCTGTACACTTTTTAGCTCAGGTGTTCTCCGGTTTTCCCCAGCCTGTCATGTGGCGAAGTTGGTTCACCTGCAATTTCAACCAGCGAGCCACTCGTTGGCTGAGCCACGCGCCGCCGGCAACGCGCCTTCAAATGGTGCCATCTCATCCGGTGTCCTTTGGGACAGGCAGCTGGTATGAAGATGTTGCCCAAATTCAACAGATCTTCAAAAAATGCTGGCAAGTTTCATTTCAAGTTCCAATGGAAAGCACAGTGAACCTTCCACTGAACTGGTCATAACTGGTCTCCAGCAGTTTGCGCTCCTCTTCAGGATGGGTTCGCAGAAGGTCAGAAAGGACTCATAGACCACCTGTCAACGACAGCTGCTGACAGCTGCTGACTGCGGAGGATAGCTGAGGCAGCTGCGTCGGCATCTGTCAAGCCCGACCTGGGAAACGATGTTGGTCAAAATGGGAAACAAATCAGCCTTGGTCATTCCTTCAACAATAACAAACACTCAATATTCACAAAATGTATGACATTATCAAAAAACAGTGATTCCAGCCATTTCAGGACTTACAACTACTTAAATCATGTTAAATCAATCTACCCATTGCACCCCATTCCTTCCTCATTGAGCTACCACACTGCTCCAGGCTGAAGTAAAACTCCAAGAAAGGCGTTGCTTCCTCCTTCCCATCAACGATCACACGGCGCAGCAAGCCAATCTTGCTACCTCAGTAAATCCATTGGAAAATCCATTGGAGCCCCTATGAATTCGACTTAGTGGGTATGGAATGGATGTATATCACATTATCCACATGTTGCAGTTTCCCTCAATGGTAACTCAAACAAGTTGAAACATTCTTTGGTGTTGTGTTTCATCGTTTTGTGGTGCTTTAAATAGACAGGTTGGGGTATGGTTGGATTCCCAAGTCATTCCAGTTCTTCCCCCTGCTGAGCTTCCTGCCATGGTGCAGCTTTGCGCTCTGTCCACGTTCATCGAGCACCAAATCATCCACGGATGTTCCCACGGTGGCATAGTTGGTCAGGCGAACTGGCTGAGTTGGGTGTGTTTTCAGTGTTTGTGTGATTCTTTGTGCATCAAATTGGTCCATGCTCCAAAGGTTCGATTTGATTTTGGGCACAAATAGTTGATATCCATCCCAACTGTGTTTTCAAAACAGGCTGCAAATCGCTAAAGCTTGTGACCCGCCACAAACATGCTGGGCACAGGAGTGAGGTGTCTGACCATCATCGGACAATGCTGGCCATTCCAAAGCCTCAAGACTGGCAGTGTTGGTATGATTGGGTCAGATCATGACGTCATGATATGTCATGATGATCCTCATCATAACTCCTCCTCCTCATCATCATCATCATCACCACTGTCACCATCATCATTCAAAGACTTGATGCAAACTCCCAGAGTTTGCATCGTCAACGCCTTGGGCCTTGGAGCGCCCGAAAAAAAATCGGATGGCACGACGTCGTCGCTGGGTCTCCATGCCCAAATCTGGAAATGCTCCCGTGAGACTTGATCGAAGAGGAAGTCCTCAGCGCCACAACATCTGCTGAAGTTCTACCCAACACCTTGGCACTCCCGTTATAGTCGATGTGAACTTGACATTCACATAACCTGAACGTGAAAAGCAAGCCCTTCACAGAAATCCATGTTCAACAGGGCTACCTCACCAGCCCTTTCGTACCCACTGAGTGATGTGAATGCCTGAAGCTGCAACTGAGATGTCTGCGGGCAGCAAAGATTTCAGAAATTCCCTCTGAAAAATACGCCCAAAGCGCTGGGTGGGCCTCGGTTGGGTCATGAAATCTCTGCATGTGGGATCTAAATGCGATCAGTCACGTATCACAGCAGGTCATTGGATTCAGAAAAGCGAACTGGTTCGGAAATGTCAGGAAACCAAAAACAAGATATGTCCCGACTGCTGTCATCTTTGAGGCATTGGCACTGACTTGTTGTCTTCCCGCCGCTGTATTAGAGTCTTTTGATCCTCACGTTCTTCAGCCAGCGATTGCTGCAGGGAAACAACAGCCTCTGAACATTTTTTCTTTCTGAAAGCTAAATAAAACAGGTTAGGAAAAGATGACAAAGTCCAAGAAATTCAAAAGATCTTCAAACCCCCTGCCCCAGGCATCCTTGGACAACATCACTAACTTCTCCCCCTGTGCCATGACGCACCTCAGCAGATGCCCTAGTGGATAATGAAGAACTGGGTCTCTCAATGTTTTTTAGATAGGGGCTGCTAGGGGAAGGAATGATGAAGCACTCGCGGGATATGGTTCCCTATTGATCACCATACATTCTAAGTGTTTAATTTTAATTAAGAATTTGATTCATCCTCACTAATTTATCACTCATAATTAATCACAAATTCTTGGTGAGTAACCTCACCACTTAATCATCTTTAACTATCTTTAACTGGTGTTTAATCTTATTCTTTGGCCATGTAACAACAGTTTTTTTTCACATGGCCATTTTGTGTCTTTCATCCACCACGAAAAAAATCGTTGGTCCCAACAGGTTCATCATCTGCTTGGTGCTGGGAGGCTGCGGGTTGAATCTGCAGAGGCGTCAGAGCTCTGATGTAACTACTTTGATACAATGATATACAATGGGAAATATATATATATATACCAATATATTAATATTATGATTATCAATGACATTATATCAACACATGTTATTAATAATCATAATATGTCATCTTCCGATGAATCCAGATCATCCCAACACCCAAAATCTCCGTCATCCGGGCGGCTCCAATGTCCACGCCAACTTCTTTGGATGGCGTACGTGCGGTGCACCCCGACGCGCCAACAGCGAGCCTTTCGGTTTTTCGGTTGATGAGGACTGTCAGTTGTTGGAGATCAACGGATGGGTGATTCATTCATCAAAAACCGGGGATATATATATATATATATATACGCATAGTATATATATATATACATAGTATATATATATATATATATATGTGTGTTGCTGCTGTCACCCGCGCACAGCGCCCAGACCTTTTTTCTGGGGCGCACAAGAATTTGTTGTTGGCCATTCCGGCCCATACAGTGCAATGCGGATGCATGGCAATCTGACGTGCTGAACCACTGTGTTCTGTCAGGAGGCTGCTTACCGAAGAGTTATGTTAAGAGATGGGTTATCTGCAAGCGCTTGCTAGAGGAAAGGTTGCTTACTCTAGTACAAGACAACAAGTCGTACCCAAACCACCCAACTTACCCCACGATTAAGGGCATTAAGGACCAGCACCATGTCAGACTACTCTAAGTCGTGTGGGGAGGCGGCCGTGTGCCCCTGCGCGCCAGTGTCGGCCAAGCAGAATACCTGCCAGGGTGAAGAATCCATTAATTAACAGAGCAGAAAAGGAGTTCTGCTGTTGGAGCTCAAACTGCACTTGGTTATCGGTTATCAAGGGATTCGCCGACGGGGGCGCGACAAGTCCTGCTTCAAGGCTGGCTGCTGCTTCATCAAGCAAGGCATCAATTAGAATGACAAGCAAACCTACAGAACGTCTAAGAGCCAGCCTTACCACTACTCTAAGACCTCGTGCAAACACTACATAGAAGAGTGGTCTCGAAAGAACTAGCAGCAGGACCATGAAGGTGAAAATGGCTAGAAAAATTCTGCCTTTTGCTTTCAACAGTATCCAGCTACCCCACTCACGTGCTCTGCGCCAGCTGCAGCATCTGCTCGGAGGTTCACTCGCATTTTTCTTGGCATTGGATGCTGAGTTTGCGTCACCCAGTGCCATTTCTGACACCATGCGTTTTGCATACTGGTTGAAGCGAGGATCGGCCCGATACGAGCGTGCAGATCGTTCCAAATCCTCGACACTAACCTCACTGTATCTTGCCCCTTTGAGGGGGCCTCCAGCGACCGTGACCTTCCTGAACCGTTTCGTCCAATCTTCCCCATGACCTGGCAGCTGTGACGACATGGCTGCTACTCACTGGCGTAAAAACCTCAGATAGCACGAGGTGCACTGAAGAAACTTGAGAACGGAAGATAACTGGCAGGACGAGGAGGAACATATGCTGGAGCAAGAAGCTTTTGAGTGATTCGGCGGTCGAGGCAGGTATTGACAAAGCGATCTGCTGCGCCCTAGCTACTTGTATGTAATGTTCCAGTGAGCGAAGATGTGCCCATCTTCCCATGAAGCGCACCCGACTCACTTCAAATCCTTCATCTATCAACCATGTTGCTCCCCCTGCTCTGAGCGAGCCAGGTGAGAGGCGCAGCTGTGAAATGTTCAAAGACTGACAAACTCGACTGAACAAGTTCCGAAACTTGGTTGGGTTCGAAGGCCAACCGGCTGATTCTTGTGAATGCCCTCGATTTTTCAGCCAGGCTAGCCAGTTCATTGCGTCGGGATGACGCCTTTCCACACACTGCTGCGCTCCCATCTGATGGGCATTTTTTGGTCTCGCGATGCGAAGCACTGCAAAGCCACTACACAGTGATAATGAATTGGCCAAGTTGATATCCCCAGGGCGCAGGTTGAAAATCTCACCTGGCCTGAGCATGCCAAAAAATCCCACCATCAGCAGAGTGGCAAAAACGTGCCATAAGACCCTTTCCGGGCCTCGACTGTTCTGTGCAAAAATCCGTGCCTTGCACACCATGGCCACCAGCAGGGGAATCGGCAGAGGTGGCCTGAAATTTGAAGGCCTCTGCTCTTCCCAGGATTTTATGCTGTTCCACGCAGTTTGAAGGCTTTTGCGTAGACGGGGTCTTGTTATTTGCACCATGAGCACTGCATGCTTGGCCAAGCGAAGGCTTGACCTCTTGTCTTTTGAGTGCATCTGTCTGATGTATTGCTCCAATATCTCATCAACTCTTTTCGCTTTCTCCCGCTTGATAATGGTCCAGTCAAGTCCAGCCTCATGCAGAAAAGCTTCGAGAGAGCGGCCGCCCTCTAACAAACGACGCTGATAAATGGCACTGTACTTGCCCCCTTTCAGCTTCTCCGCTGCAAGTCTCGCACCAGGCACAGGAGTGGCAAGCATGCATGCAATGCAATGGAAACTAATTAAGTCCAAGGATAAGAGATAACTTCTTCTTTTAAAAAACAAAAAACAAAAAACTCTACACTTACGCAATCAGTCAACATGCAAATGAGCGTTCAAAGGCTTTGGCGTATGCTTCACACAGCCTCTTGGGGTAGCTGCCTGCCAGCTGTGATCTCTTTTGCCAACGACCTTGAACCTTGACACCCCCCAGGACAGCAATGTGGTCGTGCTGCTTGCTGCACTTGCGGGCAAGTGACCCAATGTTTGGCATGGTTCCTAGAAATTTTGTGGGTTTCTTTGCCAGCCCCCATATCCCAAACTTATCTGGTATCTTCAAGCCATATTCACACTGGTCCAAATCTGCCACTGTGCACTGGCATGCGGCCAGCACTTTCCGCATTTTGGGAATCTTCCAGGCAAATGAGGAGAGAGGGTTCTCTAGAGTAAAAAATGAGCCATGTTTATGAAGAAGTTCGCACAGGTGTAATGTTCTATGGAGGATCTCATTCCCAGTGTTTTCTCTATGAACTGTGCCATCGCCTAGGGGGTGTGATGCCGTTCTGGAGCCCTTATTCATGTTTTGCATTATGCTGAATGATCCACAAGGAAAACCAAAATGCCAAAGCTGATGAGGATGACATGCATCGGAACAGAGCTTGTTGAAGGCCACGTCATTGAGGATATCGCAGTTAGGATCGATCTTACCATGTCTCATGATTTCAACCGGTTCCTGCACTGAGAACTTTTTGCGCTGCTTGAAGACACGTGTGAGATGACCTGTGCCTGCAAAAATCTCTCTAAATGACCACTTGGCAATAGCTGGATTCCCAGTTCCTGAGCCGTTCCCACCAAGCTCTGACTCCTGTTTTTCCCGGCTGTGGTCACAGCGAGTGGAGGCTTCTGCCGAGGCTGCAAAAGACGGCTCGTATGCATCTTGCTTGGCCACTGCTCGCCATATGTCCCTATTTGATTTTCTAGTGCGGTATTTCTCAAGGTTATCACCTAGGATTTCCTGGGCCAAAGGGGTTGCAACCTTAGGAGGCTCGGGGATACGTTTGCACCTAGATGGGAAATCACTGGGGTTGGCGGCTGACTTAATCCAAACAAGATGTAGGCTCTTACGGCCTACCAAAGTCCATCCAAGGGCCTGGCGCAAAATTCGATTGAGGCTCCGTGCCGAGGAGCGACCTTTTGCCCAGGCTCCGCATGCTGCTCTGGAATCAACCAACAAAACATTTCTGAGAGGTTGAGTCGACTTGTGAACTATGTCTTTCAGCTCTCTGAAAATCATGCGTGTCTCTAGCACATTTATGTGATGTTTTCGGGCAAAGCTACAACTTTCTGTTTGGTTCCACGGGATGTTGGCCACAAGTTCTTGAAGCTCTTCCGGGGCCTGCTGCATTGTACTTGGGGGCTCTAAAGCACCATGAACCCAATCAAGCCTGACTGCCTCACCTCTGTGTTCTGCAAACCTGTAAAGTGTCTGTGCAACTGCCGGGGGAACCAGAGCAGCGGCTCGCCCTCCATGAGACAGCGAGGCATCGCTAGCACCCAATCTGCATGAGACAGGCCATCTTATGTTACTGTGACACAAAGGGAGCACCAAAGCACAACTGCAAAGCTCTTCCCGAACTGCTATGGGCAAAGGCCTGGATTCACTGTCACCTAGTTTTTCAATCCACAAGAAGGTCTCCTGCAGCAGGCACATCATGCTGCGGCGATGCATGAACGGGTGGACGAGTAAGCCTGTCACCCCTTGCAACATCTTCTTGCTAACTGCTCTAAGCCTAGTGACCCTGACAAGCAGTTCGGACAATTGCTTAAGTTTTATGAGTGGTGCTCCGGCTCTCCCGGTTTTATTGTCAAGCTCTGTGCCCCAGGCTACAAACTTATCCGCTTTGTCGAATTTCTTGGATTGCGAGGTGGGAATACCCTGGCTAGCATATTGGTTCCTACTCCTCGCGATCAACACTTCGTCCCAAAATTTTTCCCCTTTGTTCCTATGGTGCTTATCAGGAAGGATTTGTGTGATAATGTGGTCGTCTATGTAAAGACCCTCCATGGTGTGACTGGCAGGCAAGGGATGTTTGAACTCTATGCATTCTCCAGGATTCATGCAACCGCTGTCCTGCAATATCTCGAGGTGGACCTGTTGTGCCAGATCCACTGCATTCAAATCTCCCATCGCAATCACACGAAATGATAGCAAGTAGTTGCGGCCAGGAACACCTCCATATTTTTCATACCCCGCCCCATCAAAGATTTTTCCCACTGTGTTGCGAGGCAACCAATCTTCGTGATGCTTCAGCAGGTAAAAATAGTTGGAGAGGTCATCACCACTACCCCTTATTGAGAAACCTTTTGGAATTATCAACTGGGTGAGAAGGGAACCATGGGGTAGCCTAGCCCAAACCAAACGTCTTTCTAACTCGTTGAAAGGCCTACGGTCCAAGATTATCCTATCACTGTGTAACTTGTGATCAACAGCAAAAAGACCCCCCGAGATTATGTTACCACGGCTATCCTTCATGGCCAATTCTTCGGGGATAAGAGTGGCTACACCACTACTTCGCCTACATCTTCGGGTTCGACACGGTAACATCCAACTGTGGGGTGATCAGGCTCGACCCCGTGAGGTACCGTCTGGGACATGTTGCGAAATGTCTCCAGGTGCTTGCCTTTGAGAAAGGCCTGAGGTTCCACAATGCCTGCTCTTTCGGGCAACGACATTCTGTCCGGCTTCACATTCTTTGCTACCCTAGTGAGCCTGTCTACATGAAGATTGCTGGTGTAATCTGAATTCTGGACAACCTTAACTAATTCACTTAATTTGAGTATCCCGCGGCTTAAGGGTTCGTCACTCTGAAGGCGGACATACCTATGAATTTCCGAATGCAAATAGCCGGCGTATGCAGAGTGCATGGACGTCCAAGGATTGCTAACTGCCCTATCTAAGAGACGTTGCTGCTGTGAAGCTCTGTATGGTGAACCACCATCTAGAAAGGTGAAATACGCCCACAAGATTTCAGCATAATCCCAGGATTCACTGCGGCCTCGTCTCCTAGCTCTCCTGCGAGCTCCTTTGGACTTGCCCATGCAGCTGGGCAACACCAACAGAGACGGAAATAATTGAGCCCCCTTTTCTGGTTTAGGGGGTGATTCTGGCCCCAACCTCCTGCCATGATAACCGGAGGACTTTACAAGTTTCAAAAAACGTCCGAAGGAGCCCCAGCTGTCTTCGAAGCTACCGATCACGGAAAACTGGCTGAAACCGGCTTTTGCGGTTTCGTCTGCGGCTGCTGTCTCACTTAGTTGTCGACCTGGTTCTTGTCTTTCTCCTTGCCCTCCTTGCTGTCTTTGCCCTGTCCATTCTTCTTTTTGCCTTTGCCCTCCTTTCTCTCCTCGTGATCTTCGCCCTCGCCTTTGCCGGCACCTTTTTTCTTCAGGTTGTCCGTCGTTTTGGCAAGCTCGTTCATCGAGCGAAGATAAGAAGTGACATGTTGAAGGGCTCCCGCATCTCCGCCGAAAAAACGGCGTTGGAAAGGGTCTTCCACATGGGTCAGCATCCAGGCAATCTGCCAATCCCCATTGTCCAGACTGGCTTGGTGAATCGACTGCAAAGTGAGCACCGTCTGGAGTGCTGCTTTTTCTGGTTCTTGGCGAAGAAGATATTCGAGGATGATTCCAACGAGGTAATGACACCTCTGAAGCCCCTTCTGGTTCCTCCAAGATATCTTCCTGTTGTAGTCGACCACCCTCCATGGGCGATCTTCCGCTCCTAGTTCCCTCTCCATTTCCTTCACATAGCGGCGCACATGCCTCAGAGGCTGTGCGAACATGCGGCGGCCTGCTTTCTGGTATGCATCCACTGCTTTCTGATGCCCTTTCGAGCTGCTCGCAAGAGGGCTCGAGTTGTCTGAAGAACTGCTGCTTTCCACAGAGCTGCTTGACCGGTCTCGCGCGCGACGACCCCGGCCTCGCTTCTTCTTCTCCAACACCTGAGCAAGCTGCAAGGCCATCAAGCCTTGGAGTGGGTCTCCCTTTGCTATGGCCGCTTGTAACAGTGCATCTTGGGTTTCTCGATCTGCTAATCCACTGGACTTCGACTTCTTCTTTTCCAGGAGCGCAAATCTTTTCGACCTGGTGCGCTGTTTTGTGCTGGTCGACCCCTCTCTTCTTGGCTTGCCTTTCTCGATACCATCTCCGAGCCAGCTCTTGCGGAGACTTTGGAACATGTCGCCATCCTCGGATGAGCCCTCGTCCGACGAACTCGTGATGGCCTTCTTTGTTTTCTTCTTTGCTGTGGTCTTTGGAGCATCCGACAGACTGGCGAAGGTCAGCTCCCCTTCTGACTGAAGTGCGTCCCCCCCCAGCTTCATCAGCTCGCCATTGCTGGCCAGGAGTCTCATGACTTCGAAGGGCACGCCGCTCACAAGGTGGTGGAACTCTGCCTCCACCATGCAAAAAACGGCATCGTCTTTCTGTACCATCGACAGCCCAGCGTTTTCGGCTTCTTGCAGACTGCAACGAACCAGACACTTCATCCACTTCTCCTCTATGTTCAGGACAATAGCCTCGCGCCATTTTGGGTCCTGGAAGTCGGCTCCCAGGCATAGGTAGCCGCGGCTACCTGGCTTCAAGGTCATGGCAGAAGGTCCAACCGAAGATTCGTCGCGCCAAGCGGGGCGACAGGTCCCAGCGGTCCACTTCCGCACAAAAGCCCTCTTGGGCAGCTTCCAGTGACTCAAATCTCCTGTATGCTATGCCTCGATGCTCTCCACCGTGCAGTGACAAAATCGAGGAGTAGGCAGTGGTGCCTATTCCCCAGTGTATCCCAGCGACACGCCACCTACCAACTCCTGGGATGTCCCACACTGCGTAGAACCGCAGATCAAGGCCTGGAGCTGTAGGGTAAGTCAGTCCCTCGTGGCCAAAATAGGCCCCACGAGGCCTAACACTGTAGTTCAAAGGGATTACCCAGAGTGTCTCACGTGTCACCTGCCCACCTGTGGGTCTGTCAGAGGCTTCTGTAGTGGTTCCACTTCGAGTTCCCTCTGATGCAGTCTCCGAGGCAACGCTAAGAGTCTTAGGAGATAATGGCTCAAGCACAGGATCGGGAGTGCTGCGCCTTCTGCAGCAAAAACGGTGCATTGAACCGCATTAGCTGCGGCAATCCAACATCAAACATGGGTGTGGCATACACACTGTGCTATATATAATGATATAATGATATAATATATATATATATACACACTATATAACCTAACCAACTTTGTATGGTATTTGGCTGTGTCTGAAAATGAGGCATAACTCCCAGAATAGCGGTTTTAATGGGGGAAAATGGTAATCCACCATGATTTTTGGGGTTCACCACCAACCAAAAATAGTGACACACATTGACGCATTGACTTGTCAAACCCGTTGCATGCAAATTGTTTGACGCACATGTATATAATGACAATTGTATACAATTGTCAAGTCATTGTGATGACTAGGTCATGTCACTGTGGTTTTCACTACAGGAGTCGCCAAACCATGGAACCTTATGCTGATAGCAACTTTCTATCTTATTTGGGACCCCCTAAATCAACCTGCCAATGGCCTCCATATGCCGGAGCGAGCTGGCCAAGCTGGCCACCTTGCATTGGGATCCCAAATGTAACCCAACAAAGATGGATAGGTCAAACAATTCTACTCGAATAGAGACCATTTGAATATCAATTGATGACAATTGCTTTTCTATCTTGTCTATCTTCTTGGGGGGTTGTATACTACACACATCTATAAGCTTCCAAAGTGCGACAGTAACAATCATAAAGATGCGTATGATTATCTGGGAAGATGTAAGATATATTACTATGATACATGGGAAATATATTAGCATCATGATTGGGTGGAGTTGTCAATGACAATTGGGCAAACATCCATTGCGTGGCTGATGCTGTCAAAGTTTTTGACAGCATTGGTCTCAAAAGATGGGAACACATAGAAAAACACTACGTGAAACGCAAACCAGTTTACCAGCAAAACATGTGTCTCGAAGCCTTCTAGCAAATCATCCATCCAGTTTCCAATCGGCGTATTTCAAACTCAACAAAACACTCAAGAAATTGGTGTCTTCCATTTCAAATTGCCAATCAAGTTAGCCATAGTTGACCATTTTCCCTGAATTTTCGTGGCCCAACATTTTCACCCACCCATTGGCCCTGCCTGAGTTGTATCTCTCCAATTCCGGCATAGGCACTGAGACTTGCCGCAAGGGTTGCACTGGTTGGCCCGTGAGGTACTGCAGCCGCAACTCGTCCTCTTGGGCTTGGGTCAAACCCATTTGTGGCACCCTGAAGGGAGCTGAAGCCGTAGCTTGGTTGGCAACTTGAGCTCGTTGCATCTGGGCCATCTGGGCACTTTGCATCATCTGTTGCTGTTGAAGTTGTTGAAGCTGTTGTTGTTGCAGCATCTGGGCATGCAACGCCTGTACTGCAGCTGTTTGTTGATAGCCCTGTGGGCCCTGTGGGCCGCCCTGGTGACCCCGGCTGGTATAGCCCTGGTGGCCGCGACTCGGTTGGGGTGGAGGGGGCGGCACATCAGGTTCTGGCGGTGGAGGTAGGACAGGGGAAGCCTGGCCAAGGCTTCAAGGCTTCAAGGCCGAAGTCACCAAGAAATCTGGGGATGCAGAAAAACTTGGGGGGTTCAAATTGGAAACCAAGGCTTCAACAAACAGAGGTTTTCTTTAAGTTTAAGCAACCACCATTGGGTTGTGAGCAAGCAAAATCACATCTGATACTCTGTGAGTAACAAATCCGTGCATATAACATCATATAACTGCTCAATATATGGGTGGGTCAAAACGTAGGGCCCACAACCCAACGATGAATATGTCTTGAATACGAATACGTGCATTTGTGCCCAAAATGGTTCCAACCAGGATTGCTTCCTATACCAAAATAGAGCGTCGACTGATGGATTTTGGGTACTTTCATTCTGGACAGAACCCAAATGGCTATGTGCGGCTATACCCACTCAGGCACTACAATTGTTGGTAACGTTCTTGTATTTGACCGTCCGAGTGGGAGATGAAATAAAGTTTGACCCAGACCCAAAATGTAACCCTGAGGACGTTTCACATGGCTATAGCTGGGAATTAAAAAAAAAACACCAATTTTCTCCAGATAGGTGATGTTCCAGTGCCCTGTTCAGGTTTCTGTCGGGCCCTGGCCCGCCTAAACACTTGGTCGATATTAGTGTGAAACTTGAAACCATCCAATTTTATCCGATCCAATTTTTGGAGGTGCCAAAAAAACACGTTGAACCAATTCATAGATACAATTTCGAACCATAAGACATTAATTAATATCAATTATACCATAGCCACAGCCATGACCATGACCATGATCCACTTCTCCCATGGCCTCTACTTGGATGTCACGCAATTCCCGCAGTCGCGCCACCACCTCTGAGAAGAAGGGCCGATGTTCCTCACGGCGCGGCGCCATGGTGATGGGGATAGAATGGTGATATAGTGGAAACGTACTGGGAATATCATGGAGGTATAAACATCAAAGGTTCTGATGTTGGGATGCAAACCCAAAATATCATACGAGTCATATAATAGTCATATATTGGAATGTAATATAATGTAATGATATGAGTTGAATCAACATTGTATCAATTGTATCCCATCATATACCGTTGGGATATTGATGTATATATATATATATATATACATATTTATAAACACAATGGGATTCATGGCATATTTACCCAATAATGATCCATCCCGAGCTTTGTTGCTAGGTGATGACCCCCAAATGCTTGGCTCCCAGGATTCTTTACTGGCAGCTCCAGGGGTTCCTCTTGATACTCCGTGCATTTGAGCCCGAGATGGGCAAAGTTCAACGCCACTTCGTATGGAAACCCGGCCTGAAGACGCTTCGGAAATCGCTTCGGAAATCGGCTGGACAAGCCAGCCGAACGCGGTGTGTCATTTTGGCATGTATTACTATTATTATTATACAATATGGAGGTTTCCTACAATAGGAGTACCCCAAAAATCATCCAAAGTTGCTTGCAATCAATGGAAACATAATTACTAGTTTGGGGTAGCCATATTTCAGGAAACCTACATATTGTCAAACGAGTGATGCCCGAGCACCTATCCAACAATATGAATATCTTAAGATAACCACCATGATCCTCACAAGAAGTGGCTGAGAAATAGTGGACCCCGAGATCTCACCCAGGCCATTGGTCGAATTTTCAGGAAACCTGCTTGGTGCGGAGGTCCCCCAGGAGTGTCAAAAACACCCATAGTTAAATAATGTCGGTAAGGAATGGGGTGTTTACCGACAATGTCCAGCAATCATGTGAATGGGAAGATGATCCATTTAAACTAATTTAAACCATTTATCCCATTCCGACATGAACCATGAAAAATGCCTCCATCTCATCTCATGAAAACTGGTTGCCAACGGTTGGTACGTAGATATTCCATGATATTCCATGATATTCCTAGTCTTGGTCGTTTCACAATCTCCATTAAACCAAATAGTACAACTCCCTGCAAAAACCAATCTCCAGGGGTATCCTTAACGGCTCAAATAACAACATGGCAGTGGAACATGACCCATTCGTGGATGGTTTTCCTACTGGAATTTACAATCTCCATGTACAGGGCATTGCACAGCTAGCCAGGTTTGATTACCAACAGGTAATTCCATTAATCACAATTGAATCACCATCAATAATCACCATTAAACCACCATTAATCACCATTAAATCACCATTAAATCACCATTAAATCACCATTAATTCATCACCATTACTGGCCATGAATCGCCATCATCAATCACCGTCATTCATCGAAGGCTATTCCCAAGATGTTACGGAGGTTTCGGGAGGTCATGAGGGTATAAAAAAAATCATCCAGTCATGGGGAGCCAATTGTACTTTGAAACTTGAAACAACCATGGTGACGACTATGGATCCAAACGATAAGTTTACAAAACCCCATGATATTCCCATGATATTCCTATGGAGATTCACCAATATTTCATGGAAATTCTCATGAACTCTCCACAGATCTTCCATATTCCTATGGTATTCCTATGATATTCCTATGATATTCCCATGAATTCTCCCCAGATCTTCGAAACCCCACCAGATCCATGGCCTTCTTGTCCAGCGCCTGCACGGCTGTGCGCACGTTGTAGCCCAAGGCGGTCACCAGGAACTCGTACTGATCGCTGCCATCGGGCGCCTGTTCACGCCGAAAAACCGGAAGGGCTGTCGTTGGGGTGGGAAGAACCGGACAAACCATGGGTTTTCATGAATGTTTTACCAAAAATGGTGGGGAAACCATAAGTTTTTTAAAAATGTTTTTATTGCCAAAATGGTGGAGAAACCATAGGTTTTTGGATGATTTTCCACGGATTGTGCGAATCCCCATATATATACAGGACAGTTTATAACCCCATCTAATAATCCAACAGGGGGTTTTGAACACTGCTCATATGTTTTGACCAATGCTGGGAATATTGTCTGGAAAAACCACCGGTGATCCACTTTTTGGTGAAGTTGATGCCTGGGTCACTGGGTCACATATGGTCACATCCTGATTCCCTGGTCACAATGTCAACCGATGGTCCACCAAATAATGAGATTGCTTCTACTAACATCTTATAGATAGCATCCAATGGGTCACCATTCCTTACATTTTGTTTAATTTAACATTATGAATGACAACGCGAAAAAAATGTATGGCAACCCCCCGGGCGGAAGATAGTACAGCACGTACAGCACCATCATTGATGGCCCTTCCCTTGATTCCGCTTGTATATCCGCTGTAATCCATTCAACAGCTCCACTGGAAGTTTGCGAACCTGAATCAGCACTTCCACCATGAAACAACTTGGAAGTTCAAGTATTTTTCACTTCACAACCCCCAAGCCTTGGGAGATTCCAACCCAGACATGCCATGCTAGACCAGTGCCATTGGGATGGCCATGATCCCATGATCCATGGCCTGAAACTTGGAGGCCGGTGGGCGAGCAGTTAACAACTCCAAGAGGACGATGCCGAAACTGTAGACCTGCCATCGACACCCCGACCGACAAGCAACGGGAGATTCCTGGGACCCAGAAATGGTGAAATGGTGATTTGATGGTGATTCAATGGTGGTTTAATGGTGGTTTAATGTGATTTAATGGATGGAAATGGGGAGGAAATTGGATTGAAATGGTGAAATGGAATGAACTAAGATGATATTAAGTGATTTTTTTTGGACCAAAACCGTTCATCTTTTGGCCCTTTTTTCGGGGAGTTCATCGTTTGAGCCTCGTTTTTTTTGCATGAAGCACATGAGGGAACCAGGACCCCGTGGTTTCTAGCATCATTGTACCCATTCACATGGCACTTCTTGGGGTATCCTCCAGGCGTATCCCCATCACCAATTAATTGTTGCTGCATTCCCGGAATTTCTTTGTGAGTATTTTCACATGTGCAATCATATGCAGGTTTGTTGAAATTGATGGACACCTCTTAATATCTCTTAATCAGCGTTTTAATTCAACCTCACACATAGCTTGACATTTGGGGGCCCCAAAGAACTTGAGGCTCAATCATAATTTCCCTGTAAAAATAACATATGTTCAAACACCCAAATAGATGATAATAACATAAGTAAGTTGGTTCTAGACTGTTGTATGTCCAGTTCTATCCCCATCTAACAGTTAAAAACAACATGTGTTATATCAGTTCTATCCCATTATCTCCCCATTATCCATGTTTTTCTCCATTCTCTCCCCCATTTTTCATGGATAAGTCACCCTGATGCCATCTGCCATTCGCATCCACTCGCCTCGCTGCGTTCAGTCACCACAGAGTTGCTGACATAGTGGGGACAAGCGTAACCCACTGTGCCAGCAGCCTGGCTCCCATGCCCAGACTTGGGAAGAACAATGGTGATAAATATAAGTTAATATATGTTAATTAATATGTGATTAATATAAATGTTAATATTCATTAGATCAATATTAATATATGAGTGGCGGGCAAAATTACTTCCTACCCGCAATGGACATGGACAAAGTGGGTGGTCCCCTATCGTTTGTGTATGGTTTCGCACAAATTTAAACCTCCCATGTCCACTCCCCACTACTTTAGTCTTCCGCTAATTTTGTCGGTTACTCATATGTTAATATATATGTTAATTAATATGTTTTTTAATATATGTTGATATTCATTATATCAATATGAAGTCCTTAAAACTTAAAACATGGATTGAAATTGGGGAATGGTATGGTTTGATATTCCCATTTCAATTCGTTGGGATGGCTGAATCTTCACATAAACCGTGATCTTGAGATGTGAAAGACTGGTGCTTAGTGGCGTAGTGGGGGAATGGGATGATTCTTCATAGTTATGAATATTATTAATTGGATGAATAGGGTGATTGTCCATAATTATATTATATAGTTATCATGGATCATTCCTCCATTTCCCCACCAGTAAGATATGTAAGATGTGGGATTCAGGATGGCGCCTGCTGGACTTTCGTCTCTTTGGCATGTGAACAGCAAGCAAGTCCCTGAGGATATGGAGATTCACATCGACCACACCGGACTGCTGGGAGTGGGATCAATGCTTCGGGACTAAAAATATGCCGTTTGCCCAACCAAACTACACGCAGTTGGAGAAAAAAAGTAGGGAATCCACTCGATTCTCTCCGTTGCAGTGAGGTAGATGACCTGTTTGGGCTTGGCATCGGCTCATCGTTTGGGCAGTTTGAGGAACAGGCGAAGTCGGCCATTTTTGCTGTCCCATTGCGATCCTTGTGTCGCACAGCGACTGGAGGACTGGGCACCCCTTCGAGGTACCGTACAAGGTCAATTTCTAGCCCCTGATGTGAAATAGCCGCGAGAAAGCCTGGTTTAGTATCAGTAAATCTATGTAAAGCTATGATCCATTCATGGTGGGTCCTTGATTTTGGTGTAATTCTGTGTAATCACATCTACAATCATATACAGTATCAGAATTATATAGAATTATCATATAGAATATCAGGGCGATGGGATCACCATGACGAACCACATCAGCTGAGAGCCATGCCAGCAGGATGTTCGGGCACTTGATGTCTCGATGAAAGACCTGTCTCACTGGTGAGATTAACACAGAACAAAAAGGAAGGAAGGATCCATTTCAGCAGCTGCTGGAACATCCAATGAAAACCAATCCGCCATTTGGTTTGCTGAATCCTGCAATCTGCTTCCAATCTGCGACATCTGTAACATGTTTAACAAAGTGATGAAAGATGCCTTGGGTGTCGAGTTGTGCAGGTGCGACAGACCTGGCAATCACTGGTAGATCCGCGGCTGTCTCCGTATGCCACCATTTTACGGTCATTTTTTTAAAGGGCAAAAATGATATATAATTACTGGGAACTATCGTGGATATGAATGTACTTACCGTTCCAAACAATGGCAATATGAGTTGATATAGTCAACATGAATCAACAAATACTGCGAAGTTCCAGGTATTTTTCGAGCGAATTTCAGCCGGAAGCACCACAAGATGCGTCGTAGGCCGCACTGATGCGAAGCTTCCAGGGGAAGGGCACCTGAGTTTTCTCGGTGAAAGGCGATGGTGCCATGGTTTGTCAAAGGAGAGCAAGGAACATGGCTTGGGAATCTAGGGCAAAGATAGGCAATGATATTGAAACGTTGGAAGGATGCTGCAAAAACCAACTCATCCAATCACGTTCCAGTCCACTTTCATAGAATTGGGTATAGGTCTAAAGAGAATACCCCAGAGCGTGATGCTGACGAAACATGGCAACTCCATCTGCTGTCAACAGGTCTCAAAGCTTCACCCCCATCCATCTTATTGCTTCATATCTCATCAATGCTCATCATATGTATCCATATCCATATGTTCAAGTTGGTTGTAGCATGTTGTAGCTCCCATCTCCAACTTTCTGCCCATGTTTCAAGTGCCATCCCATCCCCATTCCGAAAAATCTCAGTTTCGCACATTCTCGGTGGCGCATTTCTGCAAGCGATGGAAGACGTCGCCCCCCCCGAGGAGTTCGTAGACCAAGAGTCGCTCCGGGCCGTTCTTGGCGAATCCCATGAGGATCACCAAATTGGGATGGCGAAACTTGCTGAGCACGCGCACCTCTTCCTGCAATGGGATGGGATGATTGGATGATACATATGGTACAGATATATATATATGATTATTATATATTTGTATAATGATTATATATGTGTATATATATATATATGTATATATGTATTATGTATATATATATATATGTATTATATGTGTATATATATATATATTATATGATCAAAAGCAGGCAGTCGGCGTGCTGCTAGCAATGGCCTTTTCCTTAGGCAAACAAGGGCGCCCTGATCCGATATGGGCAGCGGTTGGAGTGAACCTGGACAAGCGCGGCAGGGGAAAACATGGTGGTTTTTCTCACCCGTCCTCAGGTGGAACGGTCCCGCTGCCATTGCTTAATTGCTGCTTCTGCTGTTTCTTCCGTTGCTGTCGCCCCGCTCTGATATTCATCTTTCTTTCCAGCGCTTCTTCACTCGGGGCTATCTTCCAGAATCCATCAGCTAAAGCTCGCAGCAAAAGTTCTCTTTCGCAACCCAGCTTGGTCAGGACATCTGCAAGCATTTGGCTTGTATCAAGCCAGTGGGTGGCACATTCTCCTTCCATCATTTCACGTACTTGGGCAACAAGAATCTTCACACGTTTGTCGGACGGCTGTCCAGCATCTTTCACTATCGTACTCTCCAAACTCTTTGCATCGGTGAAGCCGATGACAGGCTTCAAGGCAAATTCAGCTTCCAAGGTTCTGAGCGGAATTCCAGGGTTTTGGATCTCTCGCAGAATGGAGGCGAGGTACACAGCAGCTTCAGCGCCTGCAAGGTAGGCGTTGGCCTCAGCAGCTAAGGTGCTACGGCATACCCTCTTGATAGAGGAAGAGTTGGCCTCAATCACAATGATCGGCGTATCTTCGCCTTCAGTGATGGAGGGCAACGTAAGGCCAATGATGTAGCCGCACTGTGATTTAAACCCTTCAGTGTTTGCGAAACTGGAGTCTGCGCACATGAAAACCACGCAGTTGTCAAGTGTAATTCCAGAGGCTTTGAAACACCATTTTGCATCCGCGCTATCTTTCAACATCTTCACCGCTTTGTTCAACTCGATCACATCTCGGATGGTGGGATTGCCAATACTCTGGCTGGCAATACTGACATTGACCATGACGTCTGGTCGGGTCTGTCGAACCACCCATCCAGCACTTCCGATCAAGGCTCGGAAATCACTTTTCTCCTGCTCTGTCAGTGGCAGGTTTGGAAACTTTCTGCGGTGCTTGTCCAAGACCTGGTACTCTAAACCCTCAATAGCATCCACCTGCTCAAGGGAGATGGACTTGTCCTCGGACTGCACGAGGTTCTTGCCACAAAAACGAAATTCACCAGACTTCTTCTTGAGATGCAACCTGTTGGTGAGTTCTTTCATAGACTTTTCTCCATCGCCACATGTGATCAAATCATCAACGTGGCTCGCCATAACACCAACAAGAACTCCTCCGTCGTAGAGGTAGAAGAGGGCCATCTCAAGTTTGAATGCTATCCATCCGCAGTCGGTGGCATCACGCAAAAGTTTTATCCACCAGCTTCTGCCCGCATCTTTTGTCCCGTATATGCTGCCACGAGCCCGGAAAAGGGTCATGGGATGAACGCCAGGAGGTGGAGGTCTTGGGCAGCGCAGGATCAAAAGTCTGTTGATTCCACTGCTTTGCAAATAGGCAGTGCTGGCATCAAAAGCGGCAATCACCCAATGAAACAAAGTTGCCAAAGTGCAGACCAGGTTGAAGGCGAGCAAGGAGCAAGTTGGTGAGTCAGACCGTATGTTGGTCTCGTCTTCTTGGCATCCTTGAACTACCAGTCTTGATTTTGCTTCAAAAGGGTATTCTTTGTCCACTTGCTCTTTGGTTTTGCCGGTCTTCTTGGCCATGTGGTAGGCTATCAGCCTTGGTTTACTGTTCTTGTCCGTGTGGACCCAGCGAGTGCCAACGATCTTGGTGTCGCCAGGAAGGGCTTTGACTTCTTCCTCAGACAGCTCTTGCACTGCTTGAAACTTCTGCCATGACAACCATTCCTTTTGCATCGACGCCTGAAAGAGGGACAAATCCTTCTCGCTCAGGTTCTTCAGGTTGATCTCGGAGCGCACAGCTTTTCCAGTCATGAAAGCCATGTGAGGAGCGAACTGCTCTTCGAAGGTGTCCTCGTCAATGTCCATGGCATCGTCATCGTCTTGAAGTCCATTAAGACGAAGTCGTTGAATGGTCGCCTCAAGTCCAGGGCAGTAGTCATTCCATGGTGGCTCATCCACAACATAGGGTCCAGTGAAGACCTGTGTCCTTGTGGAGGATCTCATAGGGCCATGGTGACCATCCAGCCGATCAGGCTGCTGCATCGCTGTCTGCAAAGGCGTTCCAGGAGCAGGTTGTGAAGCTCTTGGAGTTGGCATATTCGCTGGCTGAGGCTCAGGCTCGGCCACAGTCATTTGTCTTTGATGTCCAGCACCTGGTAGTGGAGCAACAAGTCGTGGAACTTGGGCACCAAGAGGAACTTGAGGAAATTGTGGAGGTTGAACAGGTAGTGCTTGGTCTGGGCGGTCAACGTCCCGGTCAAGCTCATCCTCAAAGTCCATGTTCGCAGGAACTGGTGGCAACTCGGCATCTTCAGGAACTGGAACAAGAGGTTGTGCTGGTTGTTGATTCTGTTGTGAGGTTGGTTGTTGGTTGATGGAAGGTGATGTTGATGGTGGTCTTGGTGCTGATGATGATTGTTGAGCTTGTGGTTGTTGATCATGCTGTGGTTGAAATCCAAGAACTCTGGCATCGATAAAAGATTTGGCTCCTCGAAGTTGAAGGTTAGCCACTGCATAGTGTGGAACGCAGTGTGCAGCAAGCAGCTCATCTTCGCTGGCAAATCTCATTTGCTCGCCCGTGGTGAGGACAACAGATGGGCCATACCTCAACCAATAGGAGTGAGGTGCGCCACCTTCAGTCGGAGCATCATCGTCTTCGAGCCTTCTGGGATTTCTGAGCTCGATGCCAATCACCCTCGCAGGACCAAACCATCGGTACTGGCGTGAGGTGCCAGGTTGTTGTTGCAGCTTGAAGAAGTAGACATAGGATCCAACTGGGTAAGGACCTCTCACAGGGGTGCTTTGTCGTAAAAGTGCTCGTCGAACTCGGGCATCAGTGTCCATTCTGACCTGTGCCACCTTTGCACTCTCCCTGATGTTGAGGGTTCGCGCCATCTGGCTAGTTGGATTCTCTGCAGCTTCAAGCACTTCGAGTCTTTGGGACTCGGTTTCATCAAGCAAGGAACCAGGAAGGCGAAGGTCAGGAACGCCAAGGACCCATTGAAGTGGGCTGTAGCCACTGGTGCGAGGAAAGGCATTTCTGGTTTGGGTGACTATGGAGGCCGCAAGCATGACATCGTCGATGCCGTTGATCTGTGACTCATTGACGACCTTAGACCAAAGGATCTTCCATAAATCACCAGCTTTCTCGCACTTTCCTCCCTTCCATGGTGCTTCCAAGGGCATCACTTCTTGTTCGACTCCAAACTGCTTCAGGTGATCTGCAAAAACTGCCATGTACTCCTTACCACGGTCAACTTGTACTGAATGAGGCAAGCCGGCCCAACTGGACCATGAAGTGGTAAAATGTCGGAGTACAGCACGTGAAGCTGGAGGACCTTGGAGTTCACCAACGCATGCAACAACTTGGAAATTGGTTGCATCGTCTATGATGTTCAAAAATCCATAGGTGACTCCTCTGATGTCCTTGGCATAGAAGGTGTCCATCATGAGATGGCGGTTGAACTCATACTGGTTGGGAAGTCTCACAGGTCTGGGGCGCTTCCTTCTGATGGATTCACCGCAGCTATCGCATGCTAAAAGTCCAGCAGCACGGATAGCTTCAGGCTTGGCACCTTGCCTTCTCAGGATTCGCTGCAATGTCACCGATGTTGGGTGACCAAAGTTGACATGAAGATCTCGGACGATCTTTCTGATCTCAGGGTCGATCTGCAGCCAATCTTGACGTCGCTGACTCTCAGTCTGGTTGAGGATGGGGTCAAGCTCCTGAGCCTGTCGGGCTCGAAAGTCTTGATCATCGGCATCCAGTTCGCCAGGTGTTTGAGGTTGATGTTGGAGTGGATCTTCACCAATGGCGTCTGGACGTAGATAGACTGGAGGACCTTGAAATTGTCCAGTCAGAGTTGACACCCGTCCTTCTCTTCGACGTCGTTTTGGCAATGCACCTGCTGGGGTTGACGCAGATCTTGTTGGGAATGCATCCTCATACTCAGTCATGGCCTCGTGGACGATGGTCTGCTCGATGTGGGCCTGCTGGATAGCACATTCCAAAACCATATGGTCAAGCTGTTTCGGCCATTCAGCAGCTTGAGCAGTTCGAGGGCCATACTTGTTGCTGCCTTCAAGAGGTTGATGTTGTAAGCAGTTGCACTTGCAGTCGGCAAAAACTGATTCGGCAGCAACCATCGAAGTGATGTAGTAGCTTGGCTTGTAGTTGGGCAGGTTGGACTCCTTGTCATAGTAGCCGACCTGACAGCCATCGACTTTGAAGGCGTACAGTGAGCCATCTCCAATGAGAGCTCGCACATCGCTCATTTCAGGTTCTTCGATGCTGTCGGATCCATAGGGCTGCTCAACAAAGACATGCCTCTTGGCCTTGACACGGTCTTTGATCACCTTGTTCACCAGGGAGAGGATTGGTCTGGAATTTTCACGGAGAGACAACACAGTGGCTTCAGCTTGTCCTCCTTTGGCTATGTTGAACTTCGACCAACTTCCCCAAGGTCCGCAAGGGTGAGTGATCACAGTGAGGTAGGGATCCTCAGCAGCCATGTCTTTGTGAACTCGTGCAAGTGCTGTGGGGTCAGTTGCATCCCATGGTGAGCTTGAAGAATCAAGTGGGCAACCAACTAGCATTCCAAACAGCACGGCAGCCATAGTGAGTCCCATCTGCCCAGCAAAGATCTGTTTGATCCAAACCTTGCCAACTGGTGGCCGGTGGGCAACTTTGGGCTTTGTCTTGCCCTGGAGAGTCCTGGACTTCATGAGATCATCAGAGTCCAGCAGCTTGTTCATGGTCTCGAGCTTCTTGCTCTTCTTGTTGGTGGTGGATCGGACTGCAAAACCACCTTCAGCGACCAGTGACCAAAAGCGGTCATCATCCTCGCACACCATGCCCTCGTGGATCTTCTCATCATCCGGATGCCAGTCAGGCTGAGGACGAAGCAAGTCCAACTCGTCCATGAGTGTGTACCCATACCCATCGATGTAGGTGTCGCCATGACCGATGTCACTGTCGACGGCATCGGATGGCAGGGAGTAGTTGGAGGGTGATCCAGTGATCCATCTGCTTCTGGGCTGTGTGCCGGCTGGGACTCGGAGACCAAAGCTGTCTCGTCGTTGACCTTGTCATCCTTCTTGAACCGACGAAAATCCAAGTCGGTGCAGTCGCCAAAGTCCAAAAGGCTAACTGCCATGTGACCCCTGGATGTTCTAATCAAAGGCAAATCCACAACGTCCAGGGCCTTGAAGGACACTTTGTTCTTGGACAAGTCAATGATCGTCCCAAGCTGTTGCATGAAGGGCCTCGAGAGGAGCAGAGGCGTGGATCCAGGTGTTTCTGCTGAGTGAAGTTCTCCATGTGACTGGCCGATTCCCACAGGAAAAACCTTCACCACCTTGGAAATTGTCTCGCCACCAACTCCGCGAAAACGCTGGAGCTTCTCCTTCTTGAGGGGCACAAGTCCAAACCCCGTAAGAGCTTGCTCGAAGGAGGTTGCCCATTCTGATCCATGCATAGTCCTGGTGCAGCCACTGTCAAGGATTGCAAGTCCAGGCAAGTCCGAGTCAGTGAGAGCATAGTTGATGCTGACACCAGGATCATCTAGTTGAGGAGCATCATCAAGTCCAAGTCCATTTTCATCCTCAACTGCTTGAAGTTCTTGCATGGTCGGGTGGTCCTTGGGCTTGGTGGCATCGGTCGATTCGACCATCATGACATCGCAATAGTGGATGGCGATGTTCTGAAGATCTTGGGGATCGTGCTGGAGAGGGATCTGAAGATTCCTTGTTGTTTCCATCTGGCCAGGATCTTGTGTTCGCTTTCCAAGAAGTTGAGCTGGTTCCAAGTCAGTGGACTTTAAGAGCCGCATGGAGGCAAGGTTGACCAGCTTCAGGCGTGCATAGAGGTACGCCGCAAACCTGTAGATCTCTGGGGCCATTGGCTTGTTGTTCAGGGCCATGTGCATCACCTGGCAGGTGTAGCTGACATACTCAGGAGCGGCATAGGAGGCAATCTCACAAAACGATCTACCAGCAAAAGGTCCTTCAGCAAAAACATCCATGTCTTGTGGCAGCGGCTGCATGACTGACATGTCGGCGTCAGCCAGATCTGGAAAAGGTGGAAGATCATCATAGGGGTTGATCTTCACGCCATAGAGAAATGCAGTCGCCTCATTGCTGTGGACAATTTTTGCAACCATTCGTTTGCCCTGAGCTGAGGACTTTGCACCCTCACTCGATAGTGACGGTGAAGCACCACCTCGAACCAAACTCCATTGATCATCATCATATCCTCCAGGGGATGCCGTAGGTCTCCTCGGGAATCTTGGTGGAGTCAAGGTCGAAGGTCTTTGGTCTTCAAGTGCACGTGTCGTGAGGTCTGCAACTCGGGCTGCAAGTGCTCGTGAGCGCGCGCCAGAGCCAAACTTGGTGCACATTGCCACCTGAACCAGGTAAGACCACATCTGGACGGCCTCACGTCGTCTTCCAACGATCACATTCTTGCTACATTCCTTGCATGTGATGTGGCGTGTGTGGCCATTGGCGCCACGGTGAAACTGCTTTTCGTCTCCTCCATGGTACGTGGAGTGTTCACACAGAACTGGAGTTCGAAGTGCCATCAGTGCATCGTGGGTCTTGACCACGACATTCAAGGAAAAAGTGAAACTGTTGCGACCATCGCTGGAGCCACCGTAGAGATCCGCAGGGTCAAAGATCTCTTCAGAAACCTTGGCATTCGTTGCAACCATGTCATACTTGGCAGCTATGTCATATGCAGGAACCTCAGCGGAGTCAAACACTGCAGAGGTGTCAGGGACCTTGGCATAGGCAGGGACCTCGTTGGGGTCAAAAGCTGCAAACGTCTCAAGGGCCTTGACATTCACAAGAGTCTCGGAACCTGCAACAACGTCGTTGGGATTGGTCTGGCGCTCGTCGTCGCTCTCAATGCGGTCAGAGAGCACAAAGAACGCTGAGCTACTCTTCTTTGGGCTTGATGACTTCTTGGCATGGGGCTTTCCAGAACCCTTACCACGGCCACCTTTGGAGTTGCCTTTCTTGGGGGACTTGGCACAGGCAGGGTCACCGACCCAGTGTCCCTTCATGCCGCAGGCGGTGCACTGGGTGACAGACTTCAAAAAGCTCACTGCAGCGCGTCGTTGATCTTTGGCACGTTGATCAAACGTCAAATCGCCTTGGGCTTTGAAAGGAAAGCTCTGCTGGCTAGGGCTGGCACTGCTCGAAGTTGGAGGCCTCTTGATGAAGCGCTTCTTGAACTGCTGTCCACGATGTTGAGCAATCGTGGCAAAGGCGTCAGCCACTTCTTCATCCTCCAGGTCCTCAGGGGCCAAATCTCCCATGAGGTTCTCCAAAGCTTCATCATCGGAGTAGGCGGCATAGGTGTCATCACCGGCCATGTCATTCTCATCAATCTCTTCCTCGGCAAAGGCTTCTTCATCGACAAGGGTGTCGTCATCCTCAGTCTCGGCAGCAAAAGCGTGTTGTCGCTTCTGAAAGCTCGGCTTCCACTTCGGTCGCATTGGGGCATGTTGATGACCACCACCACGGGCTGCTCCTAGGTAGTCACGTCTGACCACAGGTCTGGTTGAGGCTGCGCTCGGAAACTGAATCCGAAGTGCATGTGAAATCTTCTTGTAGTCATACTCATTGTTCACTGAAGCCAAGATTCCCTGCTGCTCCTTGAGGTCCAGGCCAGAGAAGATCAGGAGCAGCATGCACTTGAGGTTGTCACTCAGCTGGGTTTCGGCTGAGGATTCACGCAGCTTTGCAAAGGCCAGTTCACGTCTGATGATGTACTGGGCCATCGATTCATGGTTCTTCCTCCAAACCTGAGGGCTGTAGAAGTATTCCAGGAAAAGTTCTTGCGTCCTTACAGGTGCTTCTTGTGCAAGGCTATCTTGAAGGCATTTCAACAACAGCTTCATGCCCTCGTCAGTCGCCTTGCCATTCTCATCTTTGGTTCTCAACTTGGAGTGGTCCATCTTCCGCACAGCTTCATAAGCTGTCCCACTCAGCTGTGCTCGAAGGTGGAGAGGCGTCGCACATTGTAAGGCGTCTTGGCCTTCTCTTCCATAAAACAAATCCCAAGCCCGGTCAACGTACTCCTCCAGGAGTTCCACTTCGCCGGCAAACTGAGGAACGCCATATCGGTCAGTCTCAAGTTTGCCATCGGTTCCCATGGTTGAGGCCGTAGAGCTCATCCAGGTTGTAGTGCTAGGGCTGCTGGCCAACACCAGCAAAACGTAGGGCTTCGACCACCGTTGATCTCAGCCAAGCAGCGAAGGCGCAGTAGCACGGCAGGTAGCCGTGAAGCAGGAGGCCGCCTAGGATCAGGCAGCTCCGCTTACCATCAAAAGCAGGCAGTCGGCGTGCTGCTAGCAATGGCCTTTTCCTTAGGCAAACAAGGGCGCCCTGATCCGATATGGGCAGCGGTTGGAGTGAACCTGGACAAGCGCGGCAGGGGAAAACATGGTGGTTTTTCTCATATGATGATATGTGTAATATTGTGTAATGGTATATGATGGAAAATAATGGTATAAATGCTACGCAACGATACACTCTATACATATACATATATATATATATTATATAACTGAATAACCAATGAAGCTGGTTTTATTCATCAAATTCTTAAGCAACAAACATGGAGGTATCAACCAATAGAAAGATAAACCTGGTAATGTGGGTTGACTTAAGCAAAACTACTGAGGGTTCAACAAAATTCAACCAATCAAGATGGTGATATGACTGTTAATCGTGCAAATACCCTCTGGTAATTTAACAGTTGGCTATTGAAAATGGCCATTTATTGTGGAATTTCCCATTAAAAATGGTGATTTTCCATAGTTACGTTAGTTTACCAGAGGATAATTGTGTGTTGGTAATCATGGGTGTCATGCCATGCCAACCTCCGAAGGAAGGACTGATGACTGGATGATCATCATGAACTATCACATCCAATCCCATCCATAATCATCACACCTGTCCCATGATATCACATGAAATCCGTGATCATCATCGAATATTCGTCAAAACATCATCGAATATCATTCTAGTCAATCATTCAGAATAAACAACTTGTATTTCTGTATTTCTGATGTTTCTTGGGGGAAAATGATCAACCAATTTGTGCTACCAGCTACCACCTTTAATTCCCCGGTCTCCAGCTGAGCCTCAAAGCCTGCTTGGTCAGGCAAACCCAACACCTTCGGCCAGATTTTTCCGTCTACACTGGTTGGTTCAGAACGGGATTCCCGTACTGACCGGTGTCCTTTTGGAAAAAATAGAGGGCTCGGTTTGGTATACCATTCATTATCATTTAGCTATTGATTGTTACATGGGAGACCTCTCTACTAATATCTACTAATCAACCAGCCAGTGGGAAAAGGCAATCTATATTCCCCGAATGGATTGTGATCATCCCCAATTTACACACATAATCACACATATATCATAATATATACAGTATATATATATATATGGTACTGTGGATGGAAGAAATCCTGCACCAGTTGATAGGAGGTTTATCCCATTATTTATAGGGTTTCAACCATCCTTTTGGTGGTGCAGGAGTTCGCAACCATCCACAGTAGTATCATCCCGAAGTAATCATCCACCAACGGGTCTCTGAACGCTGCTCAAGATGGTGATGATGCGTTGAAGAAAAGAGGCAGAACTAAGCAACTCAATGTGTGGGCCACGATTGAGCCAATCAAAAGAACGTGGATGATCTGGGTGGTTTGAATCACCAAAACAAATAACAACATCCAAGCAGAGATGAATTCAGCCATCCAGCTGTGCACTGCCCAGAGCTGTCAGAAAGATCCACACCTTGATGGCAACTTCAGTGCCATCATGCTGAATCCCCTTGAAAACTCCTCCGAAAGATCCGACACCTGAGAGTCTTTTCACAGGCTTATCCACTGGCCAATGGTTAACGTTTGCGATGTGATTCTCCAACATCTGCCTTGTTTAATACCCCCAAGACTTCGGAGCCAGCTGAGGATGCTTCATACAATTTCATCCTCCGTTGAACTCCGTTGTGTCTGAAAATCTCTGAACACATGGTCTCTATACACAGCATTTTAGGAGATTCTAGGCCATTTTCATACATTTTTCCTAGGGAAAATATGGGAAAATGATGATGAACCAGCTGATTGGGGGGTCCCCCATCCTCAACCAACAGGACCGAGGAACCGAGACGATTGTCCTCATGGAAATTCTGCGTTGCCTCAATGGACAGCGGATGAAACCATTGAGGGATATCATGAGCATCAGAAAATCCCATGGGTTCTGATCATTATTGTACCTTTCGTTGGTATATGGTAATCAATAGTATTCTACCCATTGTGATTTAATTATGCAATTGTACTGTCATGATCATTTTTTCCAATTTTTGGATTATTATGATCCGTAGTATGATCAGTTTATGATTATTGGAAAAAGCATATGATCATTATTCACCAATGAAATAGTATGCTACACTGGGATTTTCTGATTGGAAATAATGATCATGGTGATTAGCATAATAGTCATTTTATTGATGATTAGTGTAAATAATGATCCTGATTAATATCATGATTATGATCATTTTTGCCCTGTGATTTGTCAGGATCATTATTTACACCATTTTTTGCCGTAGCAATTTTAGGGGCATCTGAGATGCCACGATATGCCAAGTGACTTCTTGCAACTGGTTGTAGGAATATTCCAAGCTCAACTCTTTCAGTTCGGCCGTCATGGCGCGCAGCCATAGGCAATAACAAGTCTTGCTGATTTGGGTTGTGGCTTGCTTTAGCTTGTTGCATCGTTGCATCCCTTCTCAATTAAACTCTGGGTCTGTCATGAACTTGGAGCCCTGATTCAAACAGATGCTCAATTCTTGGAATGTACTGTTGTGATGTTATATCACATATTATCACATATTATCACATATTATCACATATTATCACATATTATCACATAAAAACTTCAAAAGAAGTGGTAGATGGGTAAGCCGCATACCTTTTCACGATTTTGTTTCCTTTTGCACACATTCATATTGATCGTGAAAGTACCTGTGACGCGGCGTTGACAGAAGTGTAACGGCTGACTCCTGGGCGAAGTGGTGACCCGCCACCAGTCGCATCGCATGCATCGCATCCAGGTGTGGCACTTTTCGAACAGCTGTGTGAAACATCAAGCATCGAATCTATGTCTATGCACAAAGCTTGGAGGATTTCTTTCCTTCAAAAACCAACAACTTCCTTAACTTCCTCTGAAATTTCGATGAATTTCCATGGCTTGGTTCATCTGAAATCTTAGATCTTAAGCTTTGAAGGAGAAGAATGTTCTTCCAGCCTCCCCACCGGCGATCATTGACATACCTCGGAAGCGTCATCCACATCAGAAGGTTTTTTTCCCTGAAAGTTAAAGAACTTTAGAAACCTCAAACTTCCAAACAAATCTGCTCCTTGCACAAATTTCAGGTCCATGGATTTTGCTAGCGAAAGTTTCAGCTCCAAATCATCTTGAATCAGCCGCGACTTGCTCAGCTGTGTACCGAAGATGCTCGCGGACCTGATTTCGTCAAAATCTTCTCCCATGGAAAAGCCAGGATCAGTCAGCTAAAAACACAAGGTGGCGACACGATTTTGGATGATGAACCATGAAAGGAAAATCTCTAAAAAACTGTCTTTGATATGAAAAATGTCATGAAGGCCAAAGTTTTCTTCAAAATCCATGGCATTCTTGATGCTATTCATCACTTTCATGGAGATTCCAGGAGTCCTTGTACGGCCCCCGGCGGTAATGATCCTCAGAGAAGAAGTTGCTGATGCGTGGCATTGGAGTCACACGTGCCTCAGGGTGTCTCCCATAGAGGGTGTTGTTGTTGAGGGGGATCAAAATAACCAACATATATCAAAAATGATCAAAGGCTAGTGCAAAACCCATCAAAAGTTTCAAGTCAGATCTAGTGCACCAATGTGCACCATGGATTTAAGCGGAATTCATGGATATATCCCCCAAACTGATGCTATTTTCTTTCGAAGTAATCCCTCCACAGCCCAGTCATTGGTGGTGTAACGCCCTCGTCTGTTGCATCATTCGGCCTCGAAGTCATCGAGGTCAGCACAAACATTCGACATCACCTCAGCCATCAAGGCCCGGTTGATCCAAAGTGTCACAGCGAAGCGGAGCAGCGGAGCGATCTAGCGGAGCGAGCTGACGCGCCTGTGAAGGCTCTCCATCAAAATGAAGTGGCCTCAATGCACAAAGGCACATTCCGAGTGGAATCTAACTATGGAACCTTCAATCTTCTTCGACATCATTCGGCCATACATTTCAGGAACTTCCAAAT